TAACGCCATCCTGAACAAAGAAATCTGAACTACTGACATTTCAGACTAAATTTTTCAAATAACGATTTATTCCATAAGTCTATATGATTAAAAAATTCCACGTGGAGAAAAAACGATGAAAACGATGATGAGTTTCCTTTATTGACAACCGTGAACGAGTCATACTGTATATAAATAATATACATAAATTGCGTTCCTACAGAAATCTCTACCTCCATGAAAATTTAACGTATCAGCCGCTAGTTATGTGTGCTTCAAAGTTTGGAGCAATGTCGAGAATCTCCTCAGTTATTCATCTTATACAAGCTTGTGAATAACTTAATAGGTTACCTCTCTTGAAAGACATGCTGGAGCTCGCAGAATTCGCTATTTCTTTTTATTAAAAGATTGCTTTTCCTGAAAATGGCAACCGTACATTTTTAATGGAATAGCGTATTTTATTTTTCGAAAATAGTTTATTGAGTAATGTCGAAAAATGGGTTATATTTTCGCGAAAAAAAGGAGAAAGGCAAAAGAAAAAATAACAAATGAAACAAATGGAATCTGTGATACAGTAAGGGCATTACAAAATATTATCATTTTAGGAAGATTAGATTTTTTTATTGCCAATAAATAGATCCTCACAGTACTAGTAATTACACTGTATCAGGAACTTTAATAATTTTGTGTTTTTGTTTTATAAATCAATGTTTGATAAGGGCCGAAGGTAAACTAAATAACCTACAAAAATAAAACAGACAATAGGATAGGACAAGAGCAATAGGACACCCGAGGAAAAGGTGATTTTTTTCTTCTCTACGTGCGTTCTCCTCGACGAAGTTTGGCAATCCTCACTGCTATTCTAACTTTTGACACTACAGTCCGTAGGAGTTTAGTTGAGCTGCATCCAAATCATTCTCTGAGGTTTCTCAGCCATGACATTCTTCTTCTATCTATGCTGTGCTTTCCTTGAATCTTTCCCTGCATTATTAGTTTTAGTAAATATCTGTCACCACGTGTTATATGACCCAGATATTGTAGTTTTCTTATTTTGATGGAATCGAATATTTTAACGTGATGGGGAACATGGTTAGAAGCAGCTAATTTTTATGCAGATCATTTTGTTAAAATAAAGAACATAATTGATACGTTAACAGAAGAAAGTTCCCAATCTCTTTTGGATTCTAAACAAACTTTTTAGAGTAACTTGCTTCAACAAGAACTTTCATTTATAAAATCAAATTTTAGTTTTGTTCAAAAAACAATTACTCAGTTAGAATCACCAAAACTGTCATTGTTCGAAAGTACAGCATTAATAAAAGAATTTCCGTCATGTTGTCGGAACGTTAGAGGTAATATTGGAAAAGATATTTTAAAAAAATTTGAAGCTACTATGGAAAAAAATAAAGGTTACCATATTCTTTCTGAAGTAGTTAGTGTTCTAGCTGGAAATATTTCGGAAACAATTAATTTAGAACCAAATGTTTTGGTTAGTTTGAAAAATGCTCCCGTTACATCAGTTGATGTTGAACGAAGTTTTTCCATATATAAATATATGTACTCAGACAGAAGCCACAAGTTTTTGTTAGAAAATTTTGAACACCACTTGGTCATTTATTGTTACCATAATTCTAAATAAGTTTATTCATACTTAAAAATGATGTAGTTACTTAAAATAAATGTAAATCTTAATGAATAGTAGGAAATATTTAGTTATGTACACTTTTTTTTTTAAATAAAATTGTTACTATTTTACGATTTTTTTATTTATTTGTATGCATATTTTGTAAAATATTTGCATATTTTCGGGTAAACACGTGCATATTTATGCGCATATTTTCTACATTTTTATTTGCATATTTGCCGAAGTCTAGTAATGACCTTGTTTTAATGCTTGATAATGCACGCCCACACGTCGCAAGAATCGTTACCGAGTATCTTCAAGGGGTAAATTTACAAAGTTTGGATTGGCCATCGCACAGCCCGGACTTAAATCCAATAGAACATGTTTGGGACCACCTTTACAGAAGGGAGAGATCTGGTAATGTGGCGACAGCTAATATTCAGGACCTGTAACGGTTGTTAACCGATGAATGGGATTATATCGATCAAGAATCTCTAAGACAATTAATTGGATGTATGCCACAACGTTGTCTAGATGTTATAAGAGCCAGAGAAGCCAATATATCTTACTAAATTATCATTACTTTTTATTTTTATTTTTTCTATTCAATGCTGTTTGTGCACTTACTTCTAATTTATGAAATAAATTAAATAAAACCATTGTTTTTCGTACATTCTGCATTTTTCTTTTAATTACTTGTTACATACTTAAAAAACAAAAAAAAAACAACAGTAAAAAATCCATATTTTAAATTATTTTTAATACAAAATTTACAATTTCATAACCCTCTAAGGACGAGTGTGATGTTTACGTAACGTTCTAATCAAAAGCGATTTGTAGCATCGATGCCGAAAGTTACGAATTCGTAATATTACGCTTCATACTGAAACAGTCACTGCGACACACTCCGGCCAATTTTTCAACCGCATACTTCTCTAAACAGACTAGGATACAAGTTGCCTGATGCTAACAGAAAACTGTAATTTTGATTTCGACAAAATCAGTGAATGTTTACCGGAAAGGAATCTGTAAAATAGTTATTAGCGGGAAAGTTATGTGTAGTATATGGATAGTTCATGCTTATCACTATAAACAGTCGTAAATTGAAGATTGAACACGTGTTGTAAACGTTACGATTTCGTTACGTTCGGCGTTATAGAGTCGATTAACTAAAATAGTTCAAAATGGATCCAGCTATGTTTTACGGACGAAAACGGCATCAAGCCATTGACATACCAAGTGATAGTGATGTAAGTATTTCTGATTCTGAAAATGAAAGTGATGAATGCGTAATAGAAGAGGACTTTGGTTCTGAAATTGATGAAGATCTTAGTGATGATGGTGAAGAAATAATAAACGAACAATATAAGCGCAATAAGAATGAATATACTGATATAACAGAAAAAAACAATACTGACATTGTTACTCCAATGTGGAACTACAGCTTACCAAAAGCTACTTCTATAAAAGACCCCATAGACTATTTTAGAATATTTTTCGACGATAACTTTCTAAATTTGATTACTTACCAATCGAATTTATTTGCTGTTCAAACAAACCCCAATAAACCTCTGGGGCTGACAATAAATAGCTAGAACAATTTATGGGTACAATATTTTATATGTCTACCAAAAACTCGATTATATTGGAGTTCTCAATTTGATATTACTACAGTTCGTGAAATAATGAGTCGAGACAGATGGGAAACAATAAAAAAACATATACATTTCTCCGATAATACCAAAATTGATCCATCAAACTTAGTTAAACTGTACAAGACTAGTCCCTTAGTAGAACATTTGGAAGAGAAATTTCGAAATATTCCAAAGGAGCAGATGGTCGTGGTCGATGAGCAAATGGTTCCTTTCAAGGGTTATTCCGGGCTAAAACAGTACATGCCAAAAAATCCTCACAAATGGGGCTACAAAATTTATGTGTTGGCTGGCTCCAGTGGTGTTGCGTACGATTTTGAAATATATACTGGAAAAATTTCCGCTACTCCAGGATACAATGATATTGGTTCCAGCGGCAATATTGTTGTAACACTCTGCAGAAGCATTCAACAAGACAATCACCTTCTTTATATTGATAATTGGTTTTCATCGATACCTCTTTTGAATGAGCTAGTTCAAAAGAAAATATATTGTCTAGGAACAGTCCGCTCAAACCGTCTTCCTAGGTGTCCTTTATTGTCAGACAAAATCCTGAAAACAAGAGGACGCGGATCGTTTCAGGAAATAGAGTTAAAAACTGATACTGTACATTGCAGAATTATCAAATGGCACGACTCTCGTGTAGTATTACTTATTTCCAACTTTTCCTCTGCAAAACCTCTTGATACAATTAGAAGATGGGATAAAACAAGAAAAGATACTGTAGATGTTCAGTGCCCCACAGCAATTAGAACTTACAATAAATTCATGGGCGGAGTAGATCTTATGAATTCACTAATAGGTCTATACAGAATCACAATTAGATCGAAGAAATATTGCCATCGTTTTTTATTCCATTTTATGGATATGGCAGTTGTAAATTGTTGGCTTTTATATAGACGTGACTGCAATGATTTTGGTGTTCCAAAGAAAAACGAGCTGTCTCTGTTTGAGTTTAAGAGTCGCATAGCCGAAAGCCTAATGAAGCAAGGAAAGACACTGACAGTTACCAAAAAATTAGGACGTCCCAGCAGTAGCTCTATTGATGATCTTCAGGCAGCAAAAAAACACAAAAGTGCAGTTACAAAAATGATTCCTCAAAAGGATATTCAGCAGGATGAAATAGGACATTGGCCCGTTGTGAAAGATAAAAGAGGACGATGTCGAAAACCTGGTTGTAAAGCAGTTCCTGTGCATTATTGTGAGAAGTGCAACGTGCACTTATGTATTAATAAAAATTTGAATTGTTTTTACGATTTTCATCATAATTAAAATTTGTCATTCTATGCTATTCATGCTATTGCTATTGCTATTTAAAAATTATGTTTTTGCACTAATAAATATCTTCATTAAAATTATTGTATTACTTCTAGATGCCTAATGTGACGTTTTCGTAACGTTTAAAATTTTCAGTTTTTTTGCAAAAATAATGATAAAAATTTAATATTAATATGTCGTACACATAATTATTGATTTTAATTTAATTAAAACATTTTTTCGGGAGAATTTTTAAAATTTTGGAAATTTCGTCCTTAGAGGGATAATTTTCTGGAAATGCAGAACAACGTATATTTGTTTGTAATATTTGATTGATAAATATTGGGATTAAGTTCGCAATTTAAAATTATCCTGAATATCTTGGACGAATTTTCATCGATTCAACCCTTTTTCGCACCCGAAACCCACAAGTTGCACTTCGCGAACCCGCAAAATCGCCTTATAAAATACATTTTATTTTGTTTCAGGTCATCCCCGGAAACGTTAATCCTTATCTGGAGGCGAAACGTGAATTAGATCCACCAATATGGGCCAGTAAAATCAGGTTCTACCCCTACAGCTATCATAAAAGGACCGTGTGTATGCGAGTCGAGCTCTACGGCTGCCAATGGACCGACGGCATCATTAGTTACTCAATGCCGCAAGGGGATAAAAGAGGAAATAATTGGGAATTTTACGATTTCAGGTGAGAAATTATATCCTTAAACAGGGATTTTTAAATTTATGTCACGTTTGCGCTTCCGTTGTTTTAAATGACTACCAGAATGTTGGACATTGGATAATTGTACTTGAATCGGAACAGATTAAAAAACATGCTTTGTTTTAACGAAAGGTAAGCCAGCCCAGCTAATTTACGCATACATTATCCTGTTTGCAACAAGGTGGAGTTGCAATTTATGTAAAAGAAAATCTTATGTATTCCTTCTCTTAATCTAAATCTAAATGAATATATTGTAGAACAAAGTTCAGAGTTTTGTGCAATGTATGTACCTTCAATAAAAATCAATATTTTAACTGTATACAGATCGAGTAAGGGTGTATAATAATCTCAGAATGACATATTTTAGAAACCTTAACTTAAGTCTCTAGTAGTAGTAGATAAAGTTATTATATCTTAGATTAATGAGGTAGGTAACCTAAAAATAATAGGTGGGTGGCAACATGGTAACCAAAACGTAAACAAATATTTTATTTGTCGTCTACAATAAACTCAATTTCTGAGAGTTGTAACGGGAAATAAATTATTGAAAATAGCTAGTGAATAATATAAGACATTCAGTGAATAATATAAGACATTAAGTGAAGGAGAGTGCTAAGAAAAAACTTTAAAATCGTGAAATAACATCCGAAAACACCAAGGCCCTATAAAAAGTAAGATTGCTGTAATTGATAAGCCTAATTAACATCAAGGCATAGAAACGAAACTCTGACCTTTGAAATTGCGACGTTGCCGTTGTGAGTAGACTTTCGGGGTAGACACAGAAAAATAACAACGGTTAATAAACATAAAATAAATACGGTAAACGCTGTCTTCTCTGAACTGTTGAGGTGGAAGACAGTGTTTGGCCCCGGAAAATGGAAAAATATATAAAAAATTTAGACAGTCATGATACACTTTCAGAAGGAGGGGCAAAAAGGAAGGACAGATATAAAGGTAGCGAGAAAGAAGATAACATTTTCAGAAAGAGCAAGAAGTTCTCGAGAACACCAACAAAAACTCCAGAGAAAAAAAATGAGGCAACAAAAATTGATCAATTACTAATAATGATGAGCCACCTTACCGATGATATTAAGGAAATAAAAAGAAATCAAAAAGAATGTAAGGAAACGATAGAAAAGCTCATAATGGAAAACAGAGAGCTGAGAAAAGAAAATTTGGAACTAAAACAAGAAAATATAGAGATCAAGGAGGAACTCAGAGAAATAACAAAAAACATGGAAGTTATGGAAAAACGCCGACCAATAAATAACATAGTTATGAACGGTCTAAGGATAGACACATATAAGCAAGCAGAGCTAAAAGGAACAATCAATAATTTCATCAAACAACATATAGGGGTAGAGGTTAAAATAAGGAATGCTCACAAGTTAGGCGAAAAAACATGCCTAATTGAATTAGAAAACCAAGAAGAAAAAATAAAAATAATGGAAAAAAAGCACAAGTTAAAAGAATTTAAAGAGTACAAAATATATATCAACGAAGATGCAACCATAAAAGAACGAGAAATACAGAAAACAATTAGAAACATTGCTCAAGAAGAAAGAAATAAAGGAAATGAAGTAAAAATTGGAGTAAAAAAAATATGGGTGAATAACAGCGAATGGAGGTGGAATGACAAAGAAGGCGCAATGTGTAAAAAAACATCAAAAAACTAGCAAATAAATGTACTACTGGAATAACGTTGACGAAACAAGCACAGAACAAGGTTAAGGAAAATACAAAAAAAGGAAAAAAGAGTACAGAAATGAAAACTGAACCAAAACACAAGAAAACATTGCGAAAAGAGCACCTACTTTTAGGAACATGGAATGTAAGAGGCACATATGGAGAAGGCAAACTTAAACATTTAGCGAGAGAAATCGAAAAGTTCCATTTTGACATAGTAGCTTTACAGGAGACAAAACAGCTGAGAAATGATATATTCGAAATAGAGGATACAATGTTTTTCAACAGCGGTGGAAAGAATCGAACATTAGGCACAGGTTTAATGATAAGAAAAGAGCTAAAAGAAGCAATAGTAGAGTTTAAACCAGTATCAGACCGCATATGTAGTATCAGGTTCAAGGGAAAATACCAAAAAATCACCCTCATAAATATTCACGCACCTTCAGAAGAAAAAGATAATGATGTTAAAGAATGTTTCTACAATGAATTAAACAGAACAATCGAAAATATACCCAGATATGATATGAAAATTATTCTAGGCGACGCAAATACCAAAATAGGGAAGGAAGAAGTATTTAGACCGACAATAGGAAAATATAGTAAACACAATGAAATTAATGAGAACGGACAATTCCTGATAGATTTCGCAAGAGAAAAAAATATGATCATAATGAGCACATATTTCGAACGAAAAGAAATACACAAGGAAACATGGATATCGCCAGATAGAAAGACTAAAAACCAAATAGACCACGTGCTCATCGAAAAAGAGGAACAGCAATGTATAAAGAAGATAAGAACATACAGAGGACCAGACGCTGACTCAGATCACTACATGGTGGGTATCAAAATTAAGCAACTGATACCAGAAAACAAAAACAAAATAAATAAAAAGAAATGTATTCATAACCCAATTCGATTAGCAACAGAAAAAGAGCAAGAAATATACGAGAAAACAATGGAAAGAGATCTAAAAAAGATACAAATAGAAGAGCAAACTGAGAACAAATGGGAAAACATAAAGCAAATAATGAACAAAGCAGCAAAAGAATGTGATAAACAAGAGAATAAAAAGATGAAAGACTGGTTCGACATAGAGTGCCAAAAAGAAATAGAACTAAGAAAATCATTAAGGATGGAAATGATCACGAAAGAAACAATAGAGACAAAGAATAGATATAGGGAGCAAAGACAAAAAGTAAAGAGGGTGCTGAGAGAAAAGAAGAGAAAACACATAGAAAATAATCTAAAAGAAATAGAAGAGAATTACAGAAATAAAAAAATAAAAAACCTGTATCAAGGTGCTAGAAATGAAAAAAAGGTTTCCAACAAAAACCCATATTCGTTAAAAACAAAGCAGGAAATAATATAAGCGGGGAAGCAAAAATAGTCGAAAGATGGAAAGAGTATTTTGATGAATTACTAAATGGTAATAATAAGTCAAATCAAAGAGAATATATGGAAGCAGAAGCAAGAATTAAACACATAGACGACATAGAAGATAATTCACCCAGCAAAAAACAAATCGAGGAAATCATAAAAAATCTGAAAAACAACAAATCCCCTGGAAGTGATAACATAACAGCAGAGATGATGAAATATGGTGGAAAACTGCTAAATAATTGGATATGCAAGATCATAAAAGAGATATGGATAAAAGAACGAATACCAGGAGATTGGAAGGAAGCCATTATTTGTCCATTACACAAAAAAGGAGACAAAACAGAATGCAGTAATTACAGAGGAGTAGCGATACTAAATACCATATATAAAATCCTATAAAAATCGATAAAAGATAAGCTGGAAAAAGAAACTGAAAATATAATAGGCGAATACCAGTGTGGATTTAGACGAGGGAGAAGCATAACGGACCAAGTATTCATAATAAGAGAGTTACAAGCAGAAAGCTATGAACACAACTTACCAACGATAGCGCTATTCATCGACTTCCAGCAAGCATACGACAGAATAAAAAGAAAGGAATTAAAAGAGACCCTTGAGGAACTGGGAGTTAGCAGAAAGTTGCGTAACATGATACATCTTACTTTAGAGAATACAGAAAACAGAGTCAAAGTCAACAATCATGCATCGGACAAATTTATAGTAAACGAAGGATTAAGGCAGGGCGATCCTTTGTCCTCATTACTCTTCAATTTATGCCTAAAAAAAATAATGCGAGAAGCGAGAATTAATAGAGAAGGGCTCCTATATCATAAAAGACACCAAGTTTTGGCATTTGCGGTTGATATAGTGTTGCTGGCAAGAGGAAAAAAAGAGCTACAGAAGATAGTACAGAGAATAGTAAAAGCAGCAAAGAAAATGGGACTTTACATAAATGAAACTAAAACAAAATGTATGCAGTGGACAGATGATCAGTTTAGGGATGGACAAAAGTTTAAAGTAGAAGTAGAAGAAAGATTATCATACGAATTCGAAATGGTGGAAAGATTTACATACCTAGGTACAATAATATCACGTAAACCTAACATTAAAGAAGAAATACAAGCTAGAATAATGGCAGGCAATAGAAGTGTACATGCTCTTAGTGGAATGTTGAAAAGCAAGTTTTTATCAAGAAAGGCAAAAATACAGTTATACAAAACAACTATACAACCAATAGCAACATACTGCAGTGAGACGTGGACAATGACCAAAAATGAACAAAATCTACTGGAGATATGGGAAAGGAAAATCTTGAGGAAGATATATGGAGGAATAATAAGGGACGGTTTATGGATAAGAAGATCAAATGATGAGTTAAAGAAATTATATAATCAACCTAACATAATAGGAGTCATAAAGGCACAGAGACTAAGATGGCGAGGTCACCTAAAAAGGATGCCAAACACGAGGACTCCAAAAAGGGTACTAAATTACAATATAACTTCAAAAAAGAGAAAAGGAAGGCCAAAAAATAGATGGAATCAAGAGGTAGAAAAAGATATGGAAGAAATTGGACTAGACGGCCAGAAAAGAAAAATGAATAACAAGAAGGAATGGAGAAAAGTCACATATCGAGCCAGAGAAGAGCTCAGTACATAAAGGAAAGCGAAAATGAAGAAAGAACAAAATTTTTTAAGCCATGGGCCTCTAAGGCCTTTAGTGTTATTGTATATATAACCTAAAAATAAAATTATGTCGTTTTTTGTTATTCTGTATACACATTATTATCTAAATATTGATTTCTTCCGAACAAAAACTAGTTTATATACCAACTTTTAGATTAACGACCTCGAAAGACTTTAATTATTATTCTCTCCCTTCCTTTATTAATAAAAAAACTTATGTTAATAACTTAT